CCTGACTCTATCGAAAACAGAAAAACCAGCCAGACGTTGTAGCAGGTGCCTTAGTCCCACCTACTCAGGAGGCTGAGACAGGAGAATCGTGTGAGCCCAAGAATTTGAGGTTGCTGTGAGCAATGATGTCACAGCACTCTATCCAAGGCAACTAAGTGAGATTCTACCTCAAAAAGAGAAAAAAAAAAAGACTCAGCATCATAGCACAGTGGTTACCACATGAGCCACATACACTGAGGCTGATGGGTTTGAACTCAGCTGGGGCCAGCTAAACAACAATGACAACTACAACAAAAAATAGCCAGGTGTTGTGGCAGGTGCCTGTAGTCCCAGCTACCTGGGAGACTGAGGCAAGAGAATCACTTAAGCCCAAGAGTTTGAGGTTGCTGTGAGCTGTGACGCTACAGCACTCTATTGAGGGCGACACAGTGAGACTCTGTCTCCAAAAAAAAAAAAAAAAGTGCTAAGTGAAGGACAAGCCAGCATAGAGGAAACGTGCAGAGTGTAAGACAAAAATGCTTATGATAAAAATGGAAGAAGCAGGAAAAAAGTCTGGATAGAAGGCTAAGAATCAGTGATGGAGATATCAGGATACAAAAAAAATAATAATAATAATAGAAAAATGTAATAGTTCAGATCCAGCACTTTGGGAGACTTATGTGGGATGATGGTTTGAGGCTAAGAGTTTGACACCAGCTGGGCAACAGAGTGAGACCCTGTCTCCATAAAAATTAAAAATAGGAAAATTAGCCAGGTGTGGTGGTAGACACCTGTAGTCCCAGCTAAGGACTCAAACTCTGAGCCCAGAGTTTGAGGCTGCAGTGAGCTCTATGATTGTGCCATTGCACCCTTATCTGGGTTAGCAGAGTGAGACTTTCTCTCTTAAAAATAAAGATAAATAAACAAAGCACAATGTGATCTGGCTGGTCATGGTGGCTCATACCTGTTACATTATCCTAGTGCTTTGGAAGATCAGCAGTTAGAGATCAGCATGGACACACATAGCAAGATTGTCTCTACAGGAAAATCTGAAAATTAGCCAGGCATGTCCTAGCTACTCTGGAGGTCAAGGTAGAGGATCACTTTGAGCCCAAAAGTTTGCAATTACAGTGAAGTATGATGAAGCCACTGCACTGCAGCCTCAGCAACGGAGTAAGACATTATCTTTATTAAGAAAACAAACAAAAAACACTGTGTGAAGTAATGCCAAGAATCAAGTAAGATGAAGATTAAAAGATATCTACTGGACTTATTTAGACAGCAATGTCACTGTTGACCCTGATTTAAAAAAAAAAAAAAAAAGACAGAAAAATAAATGATCATTTGGGCGAGAATGATTTCATTTCAAGGACGATAACTAATAACAGCAGGTTACTCAAGTCCTTGATTTCTTTAAGATGTTTTGATATGTCTTCCCCTTTCCTATTCTAGAGGGCTGACTTAAATTAGTCGTTCCTAACCATTTCATGTGGGGTAACAATGTGATGTTACCTTAAACACTAGAATGACTTTTTTATCATCAGATTAAAAAATAACTGAACAAAAAGTTACTTTAAAGTCAATAATTCTTTTAAATAAATGCCCCTTTTTAAAGTCACCAGTTGTTTGAAAATCAAAGTATCTAAGACATTTGGGCAGCCAGGATATCATGCTTAGTATACACACACAGTGCCAAAAATTGTATACACGTTTTAAGAAAAAAAAAACTGTATTAAAATTGTAATGCTCAATATACACCAATAATAAAAGATGAATATGAGTCATACTGAGCACCTCTTACAACTGCAGAAGTCAAACATGTGTTGAGTATTACAAATTTAATAGTTTTTCCTTTCTTAAAATGTGTACACATTTTTTTTCACCCTCAGTATGTGCTGGAGTCCTCTGTGATAACTAAAGCCCACAAACTGAGAAGCACTAGACATAAGATCTTCCAAGAACTCTTCCAATTAAAAAAAACCTATAATTCTTCAAGTTAAAAACAAATTACTAAAGTAAAATGGTACATCATTTATAATGGTTCAAAATAAAATATTATTTAATACTTTAAGTATCTCAAGCTCAGAGGCTATCAATTGATTAGATGCTTTTTTGTAGTGATAGCCTAAAATTCCCATTAATTAAAACAAGTACGAATATCTTTTGCCATTGCTTTACAAGTTTTTTGTTTTTGTTTTTTTTTT